CTTAATATCACTGATAGGTTGTAGTGCGACATGAGATTGATAGCAGGGTAAGATATTCTTCCTAATGATTTTTAACTTGTCCGGTTCTGAAGGAGAATTGATTAAACAACTAAAAAGGTTTTCCATCAATGAAAGATAAACAACGATACGTTCGTCAGAACCTTGGGTGCGATGACGTATTTCCTCCCACAACTGATCGTCATAATCTGTAGGTAGAAAATCTCGTTGGAGCGCATTAACTAAAGAATCCCAGGAGTTGAAACGATTCTGTCTAGATTGGGATCTGAACCACTCTCTGGCAATACCCTCAAACAGATCAGAAGCAGACTGATACAAGTCCTCTTTCGTACAATTTCTCGCAACTCTCAACTCATCCACACGCTGTAAAAATGATCTAAGTGATCCTTTCTTAAGTGTACCGTCGAATGTTACACTCCACTTATAAATTGGAACTGATTTAGGAGAATTATTTACTTGTTGTGTTGGATTTAAGTTAGGAACATTGACTGTTTGTCCTTTAATATACTGTTCACGAGTCTCAGTTAAATCTTCCTCCAGTGTACTTGTCAAAATAATATTATCACCTCTATAATTCAAAATATTAACATCCGCAGAGTTCTTGGGAATTCTATATAACCGGCCTAAAACATGATTGATGCGACTTCTCACTCTCTTAAAAATTTCTTCATTCACACCATCAAAATTGTTTACTAAGTCTGTAATGGATTCAATACTTTCATCAATTTCAGATTGTTCAGTTTCAAAATTGAAGTGAGGAGTGGTATATTCAACGTCTGGTCTAGCTAAATCTTGTCGAATCTCTCTTCTGAGAAATTTTCTCTTTTGATCAGTATCAGCTCTATCAACCGCAACATCCCGTATAAGCAGTTCATAGTTTAGTTCCTTAGTCCTAAGGTGATTAGGATCTATATTATAATTGACTCTCATGTTTCAAAGTTCCAACCAACAAAAATCCAATGGCCTGTCAATCAGACAACACCCTGTACTGAGTATTGAGGCGTTGAAATTTTTTTTTAAACAAGAAAACTCAGTAAAACTTGTTGCAAAATCGAAAACCACGCTAATTAATATGCAAAATATGGCCACTCGTTCACAACACAATATGCAGTACACCCTGTATATAAAGCAAGTTCAAAAAAATTCAATAAGTATTTCAGAAAACCAAAGTTTCCAATCAAAATTATTTATCGAATATCTTACCAATATTTGGGACACCTTGTATAAATATTTTTCACTCAAGATCACCTGATATGGGTATTCAAAAAAATTTTCAAAATATTATTTCAATGCAGTATCTAAACACAATTAACGATCGTCACACTGTGATCACCCCGTATATAAAATATCCTGTAAATACAAAATATCAATTCCAAAACACACTGAGAAGTATATCCTGTGATACTTTTGTTTTGTCAAGGAAAAAAAAGGAAGGTTACAGAGAAAAAATATCTTGCTCTGATGATAAAATGTTCATGAAATGAATTATTTTCAGAATGAAATTGAAAGGCCCTTGACGTTGTGGCGCCAATTTTATGTGACGTAACTTCACAGAATAGAAATTATGGTCCCAATGCTCGACAGCTCATGAGTCAGGCGAGTGGTCGTGGATTCAACTAAGTCAAGTTTTAATTTATTATTTCAATTTCATGAACAATCAAAACAAGATAGTGTGGGCGCCACCCAGTATAAACTGGGAAAGGAGTAGGGAGGGGACAAAACAAAAATATCAATGCAACAGGAGTTGTTCCGGAACCATGCATATAATAAATAGATACTCAGCAGTAATAGTTACACTTGCTTTACAATAGTATCAGTATTTAAGTGAAATTTAAATGGAAACCATCACCCTTAAAGCCTACAATATTACTAGTACTTATCTCTGAATTTATTAGTGAGCTTATGAATAATTGCAACAGTTGTTCCTTGAACAATCTGACTTTAGTCAATGTTGGTTAGTATTACTAGAAATCTTAAATTAAGCCTCACTGTGGCTTTTCAGTGGCAAATGAAATGAATGAATGTAATAAAAGGTGTGTTATGAATTTAGAAAAAGATACAAGGCCCTACGAAATGAACTATCAGCGCTGATATTCCGTTTCTCACAAAAGGAGAGAGTAATATTGAACTTGAAATATCATAAAGACTAATCAGACGTGGAGGCTCCTCTTCTCATCACGTTGACGATTGAAATTTTTATGAAAAATCTACTTACAGTAGGTATAAGTCACCAGTCTTACTGTAATGTAGCCACTACCAAATATTTCCAGAAAATTACAGTGGTTTTATTGAAATTTCCATAATCCATTAGTCCTGGGTACCTGCTCAGCATTGGTTCAGGAAAACATACAAGGTGAACATTATTTTATTCACCGACATCCATCACGGAGATACAAAATCCGGAGGAATCCAGTTGGAGAGACAAAATGTATTAATAAATATAATACATGGTTCAGGAAAATTAGGCAGCCGCCTTTAAATAGCACATGAAGATTTCATGGCATTACCATGTGACAAAAAAAAAGGTGAAGGTTGAAGGCCTGAAATGAAATCATTATGATAGTGTTTTCAAGACATTCCGATATGATTCGATACATAATTTATTATAATTTTGAAAATAAATATATCAGTAACTTGCCTAGAGTTGTAAATCGGCCTTCATCATAAAAGGACGTGCCTTTTGAAAACAATAATTTTCAGCTCAAAAGGTGGCATGCTAACACAGCAAAGCGCCATTAGAGAGAGAACGTTTCATTCCTCCACTACTCGATCCTCTCAAAGAATCCCTATTACAATAGGCTACAAGTTGTAATTGACATTTCGGAACCGCGTTCCGTTTCAGGTTATCGAGTGTGGTGTGAACTAGGCTGAGTGCTTGAAGAGCGCGCAGAGTTCACTATTGCCAATGATTAATTAGGTAAAAGTAATTTTTACGCTGAGGCTGTGCAAATTTAAAACGAAGAATCAGGATTGAGGTTAATGGCTCAGTCAGCTGATCGCGAGTATTGTACTGTTTACCAAAAATAAACATGGACTTGAAAACACATCATGAAATGAAATCCTTTACAGGTGGCATCTGGATATTGAATACGTGCTGATACAGTGTGAAGGACGTCCAACGCGAATAGGAATTTATTTACTAAGGTACTGACTTTGGGTTTTTCTCTATGGTACTGATAATATTTGGTTATTGAAAACAGTTATATTTTGTTCTTGGTGATTGTGTTGATGAAAAATACTTGTTTGGTAGCATATTGTGGGTGGAATACTTCTGTAATGGACAGGTAGACATGAATAGTCTACTGGACCGTTACAGTGTATTTTTGACCAATAATGAATAGTTAGCATTCATGGTGAATCACCCTGTACTTCATTATATTATTTTTTGTGTCTGAAGATGGTCGTGTGGCCGAAACTAGTTACACATTGAGGGGGGTTTTTATTAAATTTTGTGGTCGACCGACTTAGAGTTATTGTGTTTCTCCTTTTGATTTACACATGAGTTTGAGTATAACTACATTTTAATAAACATACCTGAATCCTTCTCCTGAATAGTTGATACCTTGGCCATTATATCAGTTTTGAACTCTTCATAAATTTCTTCTAAATTGGTAGATCCAGTGATAATTCTATTTTTCGTATTGAAAGATTTCAAATCCGAAACATCTTTTTCAGGTATAATGTATACTGAGAATAATTCAAAATGTAACTTCAGTGCCTGAAATTGTTCAATGTATTCCTCCAAAATGAGAAAAACATTCTTCCTTATATCTTCAAAGAATTCGCTATGGTCAATATGATGAGTTTTCGTAGAAAACCTATAGCTGGAAATTCGGCGTTCTTCCTGAACATTATTTGGCCTACTTCTTTGTGTGCTTATAGGTACTTGATTCGATTCAACTTTCGGAGACATCTTAATTTTTTTGGATGGCATGTCTTCAAGGTCTGCGACATGCCCTGTTTCTCGCAAGTGACGATATAATTTTTTTTTGCAGAAAATATCTGACCATATTGTGAGCACTGCATTTTGAAGCTGTTGTTCTAATGAAAGTGGAACTATTACTTAACTCTAGATATTATGTTGGTAGTATTTAAAGCTGTGAGTGAATTGGGTGGGGGAGGGCTTTGTTAAACAATATCATCTAGGTCAATGCTGACTGCGAATATTCTACACCTTCAACGAATTTTAATTAAAATGTATCATATCCCTGGTTTACATAAAATAATTCATGTGTTGAAAAAATAGCCGTTCCAATTTAACCAGACTATTGAGTTCATTAGCGATGTAAGTATATACAAGGCCACATCACATCACCGTATGAACTCTTGAAGATTGGTTTCAATATTTCACCAGTTTATAGTTAATTATCAAAACATGTATCGAGAATCGAGTATTATGGTAAGGTGGCAGGCCTACATTCGACGACCTCTAAACAACTCTCCCGTCTAGTCTGGCTTGCAGGTCATCATGTTTTCAATTTCAATGATTACATGTAGAATTCTTAAACCAGATCAACTATTCCATAAAGTATACATAAACAAGTTTCGCTAAAAACAGTTGATGTAACGATTTTCATTTTTGGGGAGAAGCAGATTCGAGGTCATCATCATATTATCTCACAATCAACTATTCCAAGCAGCTTTAGTCGAAGACTACTAAGTTCCATTTCCACAAGAACCATAAAATGCGTATATAAAGAAGTATCTCCATTAGTATCTCCAGTTTATCTCAACGAGTTGAAACATTTACGACGTTATTTTATTCTTTCATCATGCATCTGTATTTCAGTTATCATTCATTATTATCTTATTTTTTATCCATTTATTATTATTATCCATCACTATGAGTTTTACAACTATGTCGTTCGATGAGATGGCTGAGATGAACACCAGCAGGGATGATATCATCCATATATTGGATGATATCATCATCCAGGCCCCAACCATAGTCAGTTCTGCCCCAACCACAGCAGCAAGCACAGCCACAAGCCGCTCAGCCAGCTCTCATCCCACAGGAAGTCGCACCTCCACCCCAACCACCGCAACGAGAAGCTCAGCCAGCTCCAGCACGAGTCGCTTAGCCAACTCCACACTACGAGCAGCTCAGCCACCCTGAGCACTTCGCAGAGCCGAATTCAAGGTGCCACCCCAAGCATCGAATCCATTCTACCCAGCACAGCAGTTCAACCCGCCTCTTCAAATCCACAATTATTTGAAGAATTAGACAAGGAGTTGGAGAGGTTCTTGAGGGGTAGCGCATCCCAAGAATCGGTGGTGTGGATGCGCGACATTCACAAGGATGTGAACAAATTATAAGTGAAAATAGGATTGCGATGTCAAAGAGGGTGGCATCGTTGAGATCCTACATCAATTTGATGAGCCAAATCATGGCAAAATTAGATAAAGAGAATCAAAATATTGATAACATTTTGAACACAATGAATGTAATCATACAAAAAAATCAATAAACACTATTCCATAAAAGCTAGATAATTTATATTATAATTTATATTATCACCAATTTTCCCAGAAATTACAAATCTCGAAAAATATTTCAATCAGACTCAAATACCTCTCGTATAAAAATAATTCCACTGAACAATAATATGAGTAGGTCAGTATACTGTATGCATATTAATGCGAATCGGCGGTCGCCGAAATTCAATAATCGCCAACCCAAAGTACAACTGGGCACTTCAAGTGAAGGAACATTTTGATTTTATCGACGCCTCAGAGTTTCTGATCGAAATGAACCCTCACTCTCTGAGAACCCATAAAACTTATTTATTATCTAAATATTACAGTAAACTCCACGGACAAGATCGCGCCCTCCTGCAGAGATCCACATTTCTGCTATTTTATAAACAATTAACTGTCACAAAAGCTGAGGCTAACTATCTACATTTCCATTTGCCCATTCAGATCATTCGCACAATATCGCAGTTAAGAATATGTAATAAATATTTCATCAAATTCACATATAATGGAAGCTCGTATAAAATAAATCCCAATGAGATATGTTCAATTTGTAATTTGAATTCTGCAGAAACGTTACAGCATATTTTGTTCGATTGTCCGATTTACAATAGTTTCAGAATACCAAACAGTGATCATCTCCCGAATAGCCACTCGTTGATTGACTTCATCGACAATCTTACTCCACTTAAATGCAAAAATATCGCCAACTATATATGGAATATTCTGAAAACCAGAGCATTTTCAAGAAACGAGTAGCACTTCGTGATATCATCAACTTTGCCTCATTTCCCTATTCTTTCTTCCTGTTCGTTTTTTTGTTATTAATCAAAACTATTTATATTTGCACATATGTATAGTGACAATTATTACAATTTGCATTGTACACATTTCCATGTAAAGTGTTTATCAGAAATAACCGAATCCTTGCTATAGGACTGTAATGTCTTTGAAAGCAATAAAGAATCTATCTATCTATCTATCTATCTAATTCAATAATCGCCTCCAGCTAAAAATAGCTCCCGTATAAAAATAATTCACTGCTGAACAAGTAGTTCAGTATACTGTATTAAATATTAATGGGAATCGGCGATCGTCGAAACTCGATTATCGCCTCCAGCTAAATAGGTAGCGACCTACATAAATTACATTACAATGACGCTTGGTCCTCACTATAGTCTGAGTTGGAGATTCATTGTTGAAATATGCAATACATTTTCAGCGGCTGCTTCTTTATTCCAATTAGGAACAAGAACCAGGTCTAGTCGCATTCAAAAGCATTTAATTCTATTATTTTGGAGATCCAATAAACAATATATGTATCTTTTCATTACCCACTTTCATTTTTGCTACTGGTGTCTTCATGAATGGTAGATAATTCATTAATTAATATATGAATGTAATATTAATACAGGGTGTCCCTTTGAAAACGAAACAGAGCCTCTGTAGGTCGCCAGAAACGAATTATGAAAAACACTGGAACACGTTAACTATACATTTTTGAGGAGGGGGTATCGTTCTAAAATATTTTGAAACAAAACAGGGTGGTGCAGAATTCAGAATTTTGATCACCCGGTATATATCCCAATTAAATGTCAGTAGATAGTTTATCAAAAGTTGAGATAGGGACATGTAAGTAGTTTTGACCAATAATGAATAGTTTCGACAAAAAATATTCCTGAAGTTGAAAAATGTCGATTTTTCACAACCTATATCTGTGTCATATCCGCTAGACCCCAAGTGTGATACATCGATGAAATCAGCTCTTCAGAGAGAATCTGAAAATACAATAAAATACAGGGTGTTCCATTTGAAATAACAAAGTTCATTATTATTCCGGAAAAAGGAGAGATCTGACAACAATGTAAATACCACCATAATATCGGTCGCATAGTCGCATCACAAGACCCTTGCACACCAAAATCTATAAAAATCGTGCAAGCCGTTTCCGAGATAATTGAGGCATTCCATACATAAAACTCTCTCTGTATGTATTTTTGGTGGGTTTAAGAAAGTAATTGAATAATAATTTAGTGCCTGACAATCGATTGCATAAGAAATCACAATTTATTCAAGTCACACCTGAGGAACCAGTAACAGGTCTTATCGCATCCAAAAGCGGAGATGTGGCGAGCATGGTATCAAATTTACTCGCTCGGTCATGTAATCATCTGGGTATTGAAACTTGCTCGAAAAATATGCAACTTTATTTCAGAAAAGGAAAGTGATATTCTTTATAGGTCAAAGACCACAGAAAATCTCTTGATTGATTTAATTTCTCTACATTCGTGAATCGTTAATATATCAACAACTTCTATTGTTGATAGCTGTTTTTAATAGATTTTATCACAAATATTTTATCAATTTCTTACAGTAAGTGATTGATCATTGATCCACAACAATAACTATAATAAAAAAGGAGCAGTATGATTTTTCAATATACTTTTATTGTAAATGGCTATAACAATGTTCATAGGAAAATACAATGAATGATGTATGATCAATTCATTATGATTCTCAATAGATTTCATTACAAATATCTATAAACGATCACTATTGTTACTTTGAATATATTTTATTGAAAATGTCAAGTACAATGTTCATAGATAATAAAGAACAGAGAAAACGTAACATACTTATTTCAATAAATACTTTTTCTTCCAAACCAGAATTCTTCGATACGGAATTTGTCGGCTCTTGCATAATTTTTCGATCTTCTGAATTGAATATTACATCCTTTATGAGATTCGCATACGGACAATTTTTTGAATACTTCAAGTGATCCTCTATAGGTATATCTTCATGATTCCACATGTAAATTTCTATTCCACATTGAAAACATTCTACAGTATCTTCCTTCCCTTTGAAAAAAATCCAGCTTTAGCCAATTCTGAAGGTTGTTGTTTTCCACTCCAATTTTTGTATGAAGCCAGTCGTTTATCGTATGAATTGTACCAATTTCTTGGGATAAAAAAGTGTTCGATGCACATTTTAAAGTATGCAAAATAGTTGATCACACCACTTTTTATTGTCTATGTAGAGACCTGGATAACGTGAACTTTAAAGTGAACGGTTTCTGTCTGCAGCTTTGTGTTGGGAGAAAACTAGTATATGCTGGCGGGTGTTGTCCCAGTTCTCTCTTCATATAGTGAGGGGTGCCGTCATAGAACTCTCATCTGGTTGTTGTCATACTGCTTTCATATGAATCCAGTTTGGAAAACCAGTTTTGAGAACCACTTTGGGAAACCAGTTTTGAGAACCAGTTTTGAGAACCAGTTTTGAAAACCAGTTTTGAGAACCAGTTCTGAGAACCAGTTTTGAGAACCAGTTTTGAGAACCAGTTTTGGGAAACCAGTTTTGGGAAACCAGTTTTGGGAAACCAGTTTTGAGAACCAGTTTTAAAAACCAGTTTTGAGGGGAGGTGGGGGGGGTGCTAGAGTGGGGGGAGCCGTCTTGTTTTTCTCATTTCCATACTACTTTTGAGTGTTGATTTCTAATGATTCAAAATGATTGAGTTTTATTCCTTTATTTTCTACGTGTAGAATTTCGAAATTATCAAAACTATGGTTTTCTTCTAATTTATGGTTGGCGTATGTTGAATTTGTTTTCTTTTTGAAAAAATTCTTCTTATGTTCATGACTGCGCTAATTAAACGTACGACCTGTCTGACCGATATATACCTTAGAACAAGATCCACAGTTGCGTTTGTATACCCCAGATTTTTCGAATTTATAAGTTTTGTCTTCATTATTCTTGATAAACCTTCGAAAAAACTACTTAACAATAATATTGATTTCTATTATAACCTTGATGAGGCTTATGAAGAAATACTGAATTCTTTTCATAACTGTTTGATATAGAAAATGATTAAACACAGATGCAATGCTAAACCATGGTTTGATAATCATCTAAACAAATTAACTAACCCTAATGTGAATTATTTCCAAAAGCAATACAATGTCTATAATAAAATAGTGACAGAAACCACAAGAGAAATAAATTGAAAGTAAAACAAGAAAATTAATGAAAAGTTTTCATTTAAATACTAAGAAGAATGAAATAAAATGTTTATAATTTTAACCATCAACTTATAACCTCATTATACACAAATTATATGATCATAAAAGCTCGTCGTGATGATCTATATATAATCAAATTAGAATTTTAAATACCTAAACTCAGCAGATTTTATAAAATCAAGTAAATCCCGCGACAAGCGTTTATGATCATATGAATTGTGTATAATGATGTTATAAGTTGATAGTTAAAATCATGAAGGAACATTTTATTTCATTATTTTTAGAGTGTTTAAATAGAAGCTTTATATTGAAAAATTTCACTTCTAATTTATTTTTCAATTTTTAGTTATCGCTGGCTAGTTTTCTCAGTCTCATCATTTCATTCAACGCATCATAATGCCAAAATAAGATCAAAACTTGTTGAATGTCCCAACGGATCCCGTTCATTTTGGTCCTTCGCCAAAGCTTCCTCCTCTAACCAAGGAAGATGGAACACTAGCCACAACTGCCCAGGAGAAAGCCAACATTTTTGCGCATTTATTTGCTGGAAATTCCACTTTGGATTCATTGGGAAAACAACCTCCAAACATAACGCCAATTGACAGCCATATGCCCGAGATCACCTTTCGCTAACGTACTATAAGGAAGATTTTATTGGGTCTCAACACCAACAAAGCTTGTGGCTCCGAAGGAATCCCACCGATTGTTTTCAAGAAATGTGCTCCCGTACTAACACCTGTTCTCTCCAAGTTGTTCAACTACTTTTAAAAATTGGGGATATTTCCGTCCAACTGGAAACTGGAATACAACCAGTTCCTAAAA